TTTTTTAATTTTTTTTTTTTAATTTAATATTCTTAAGGCATGTTTCTGGGAACGCAGAATTTCTGGCGGGGCTCAATCTTTCTGTAACAAAGCAGCTAGCAAATCAGGGGGCGATGAAAATTGAAGAACTGTGAGGAAAGGAAGTGGGGCACGGTCAGTGCTCTTGGATGTGGCGGTTTCTGCCTTCCCCCGTAAATGCAGCCCTGTTATTTCTTTGGGGAATTTGCACTTGTAAGGCCCTAGTAAGTGTTAAATCAGCGTGGATTCCTCAGCTCTGGGAATTTGGAGGCTGGTACCCTTTATGCCAAGGTGGGAGCAGTGCTGCAGTGTCAGCTTTTATCATTATAATGCATATTGATGCCAAGTTGCTGATTTCGTTTGGTGGGGGATTTCAGCAAATTGTCTTGTAATGTTCTCTCTCCCAAAAGCAAATGGAGAAGTAAGAATCTCAAAATAGATACATTTTCTTCCCTGGGATTGCCTTTGTCTTGCTTTGTTCTGCTCTGAATCAGCTGCAGGGCTGTTGGTGCAGTGTACCTCTTTGTTAGAAATCACCACCAGATTTCATTAAGAGTGTAAGCAACTAGCAGCCCTACTGCTTGTGAGGGGCTGCTGTTTAATAATAAATTAAGTAGGTCTGGGATGCGTTTGCACTAGGAATGTTTTTGCTGTACAATTCATAATGTCATTGTCTTAATAAAATGTCTGTATGTTTGGCACTAGTGCCTTAAAATATGAAGTGCAATATAATAGCATGACTGTGTGAAGTACTCAGCTTCCTGCTGTGACCAGTAAAACTTCGAATGGGGATAAAATGTCATATTTGCTAGATTCAATCTGCTATAAATGCAAACACAATTAAAAATGTATGATGTTGCATGTCAAGAATTAGTTTTATGTTTCAGATACTGTTAATATTCTACACTGCTATCTCACTTGCAGCTGGTGAAACTGTATAAAAAAAGTTAATGTTCTACTAGGATCGTTTTGTTGTTGTTAAAGGAACATGTTTGATAGCTGCCTTTACACCGAATCAGTGGTTCTCGGTGTCTCATGGAATGTAAAGCAGATGGAGACCCTCCTGGAGGTGATCTACCCGGCGTGGATGTGGCCAGCAGTGATGGCCGGGACTGGGATGAGCCTGGGCTTGGAGCAGTGCTGAGAGGGCTTGGGGAGAGGATTGTAGTGGAGCTCCATCCCCATTCCACTCCTAGCAGCTCTCTGGCCGTCCACCTCCATGTCTGCCACCTGAGATGGACAAGAGCTTTGTCATCTGCTCTGTGCCTGCGTTGAGCACTATCTTGGAGAGGCAGGTGTGGCTAAGCTAGGAAAAGAAGGGAGCAGAGCTGAGAGGACTCTGGTGCCAGTGCAGCTCCTGTACTACTTCCTGCTTTAGCCACTTTCTCTTAACTGCATCCCCTTCTATGTTTTCTCCCATTTCTGACTGCATATCTCCTGTACATCAGGAGATACATTGGAGGGCCAGAAGGGAGGAAGCTGTAGGAGGGGATATGAAGCACTTCATGAGGGAAGTGTGGAGTGTGTCTGTGTGTGTGTGTGTGTGTGTGTGTGTTTTTTTTTTTTTTAAACAATTGCTAGTTGAAACAAATGTGTGCTTTTGAATGTTGAAATCTAATACTTAATTCAGTGAGCCTTCGAGCAAGAACAGAAATCTACCAACAAAGGTGGAATTACTGGCTATAAGTTTTTGATTTGTATTTTCTCTTTCTGGAAAGCTTTTTGTGAAGGAATGAAATTGGTCTGTAATGAATGTTATGAAAGCTATAATGTAAGTTTTAGTAAAATTGCCTGTAATACCAATTCCAAATACTTGTTTTTAGCATGGTAATTCCTTTAAAAAAAAATCTTTCTTTCCATTAGCACCTGTACTAGAGTTTGACTATCTCATCTGTGAAGACTGTGGCAAAGAATTCATGGATTCCTACCTTATGCAGCACTTTGATTGGGCAACATGTGATAATTGCAGGTATTACAAATAATCAGGAGAGGGAAGCTTTGTTTTATATAAAGATTGATAGCTATAATTTAGTTAATTACAGGCCTTCTATTAGATGGCTGTCAGGAAAGGGATATTTTTCAATAAGGTATTGCTTGCTGGAAAAGCAAATGGAAGTTGTCCAGTACCTCTGTATTTTCCATTGTGGAAGTGAAGAACAGCAGCATGGTTTCATATGTGTGTCTGAGGATAAATGGCATCAGTAAATGTTTGCATTCTGGAAATAGTGCCTTAATGAGCAATTAGTTTTTATCAGCATGTCCGTGGAAATTATTTTGTGATTGCAGACTGTTAACGTTTGGAAAAGTAGCATTGATTTAAATACATAAAACAGACTGTTGGTTCTTAAAAATAAAGCCAGTTTGGTCATCACTAAGACTATGTCCACTGAGAATATTTGATGTCGTAGTGAGTAGTCAGCCCAAATAACATGTAGCTAGTATGTGGGTAAGTGCGGGTGGGCCTGGAAGATGGCAGCCAAATGAGTCAAAGCTCCACAGGAGGTGGCCAGAGGCCTTGAACGCAGTCGAACCACAGGGCGGGCAGGAGTTCAGCCTCCAGGGGAAGGCAGTCTCTGTGCTCCCTTATCTTTAACTCAGAGAAAACATTCCAAAAGCCATCAAGATCGCTAGGGCAATGAAACAAGCTTTGAAGCAGCCAGCCGCCCGTAAGTGTAGGAATGAATGGGTGGAGGAAAAAAGATTGCAGCTAGAAGTTTGTTGCCATGATGTGAGAGCTTCCCAGGTAACTGCATGGAATATCAAGAGGTGTGCGTACGATTTAAGCAGTTCGTAGGCTTTAGAGACATAGTGCTGTCTCTTGAAGGTAAGATGGGTGATAAAGAGTGCAAGAAGAGGACTTGGGGGCTTTACGAAGTGGTTTCCCTTCAGACTGGTAGCTCTTGTAGCTGAATATTTAGAGAATGCTCTTGAGAGTGCATTAGCTTTTACTCTGAAACCTTGACTTTCAGTAAAGCTATATATACAGCAGTACTTCCTTGAAGACAGTTGCTAGCACTTGGTATTTGGCAGATTGTTTCGGCTTAAGCAGTTCAAAGCGATACAGGTATCAGGGTAACATAAACTTAGTTTTGTTTCGTTTACTGATAAGCGCTACTGTCGTTATGCAAACTGTATTTTTTCATTGTCCATGTGATAAAAGTTACAGCATCTTTGTATTTTAAGATCTTTATTTTACTGCTACTCTTTTATGCCTGCAGTCTTGCATTTAGAAACTAGTGCTCTGTCTGCATAGTTAATTTGCTTCTGGGTTCTAGAAGCATATGGTGCGTGTAGATCATCTCACTCAGGTGATCTGACCTATCTCACTTTACACACTTTTTCTCTTGGCCATGTGACGGCCTGTACTTTTGTCCTTTGAATTGTATCCAAGTTGGATGAATAGGCTAAAATTATTCATAATCTGTCTAAGTTTCAGTTATCTTCTTTTTGTAAGAAAATAAAAATCAAGAGAAGGAAAGCCCTTCTAGAAAGACAGAAGTGATTTTCAGAAAGCCTGCGTTTGCTCAGTTTGGAAGGTTTGGTAACTTAATTTCAATAACCAGCTTGGAGTTCAGTTGCAGTGTAAGGATTCATAAAGTTGCTTGCATACCTAGTAACTGAGAGGATGAATGCTGCCAAAATTTCAGGAATTTTAAGGAAAGTGCTGGGGATTCAAGTGCTGACAGTACGTGGCTTTCAAACGTAGGTTTCTCACTATTATTTTACATGTTCCAGAGATGCTGAAGATAAACATAAGCTTATAACAAGGACAGAAGCAAAAGAAGAGTATCTTCTTAAAGACTGTGACTTAGACAAGAGAGAACCAGTACTCAGATTTATTTTGAAGAAAAACCCTCATAATTCACGGTGGGGTGACATGAAACTTTATTTAAAACTACAGGTATAGAAACTGGTAGCATTTTTCAGACCTCTTTTTTACCTTTGTGCGACTTTGGTAAACAGAATGTATCGTTTTGGTTCTGAGTTCTGAATCATTGGGCGAAAGATAAGTACATTGCCCTTTTCAGGCGACAGACTTCTGCTTGCTACCAGGTGTGTAAATCTTCCTAATAAAAAGAGCTGTGGGCAGTTCATGAAAATGTTCCTTTTGAGAGCATTTTAAAGACGCTTGTGACCCAAAACCTCAGTCTGTTCACCCATTCGCACCAGTACAGGTCATGAAGTGAACGTTCTTTTTAGCGCTAAACGGAAGCCTGTGGCAGCTGCTGCTGCGTGTAGCCCTTTCTAGCGGTGGCTCGTGGCCTCATGTCTTCTGCTGTGCTCTCGCAGGAATGGCAGTGAAATTCTTCCAAGACTGTCATCTCTCATTTGCTGCTTTTGTAGGAATGTTTCTTCTTTAGTTGAACATGCCCAAAATTAGTTGGGTTTGACTTTAATGAGTAAATTTTGCCTAGCTGATGGAAAAATCAATTTCATAAAAGTGATCTTTTACTGTGGAAGGAACGTTCATTGTTTGCAAGTCAAGAGCAAACAGAGCGGGAGGCAGAGGCAAGATTTCTTGGGTTGGTTTATTTTGTATATGTGTAGGACAAAGTTAAATTTATGAGTTAGCATAGCTTATTTTATCATTTCAGGGGAAAAAGAAATACCTTTATATCCATCCTGTAGGTAATCAAGCGTTCTCTTGAAGTCTGGGGTAGTGAAGAATCATTGCAAGAAGCAAAGGAGCTCCGCCGTGACAACAGAGAGAAGATGAAACAGAAGAAGTTTGATAAGAAAGTTAAAGGTAAACAGTCCAACTTACATATTGCAGCACGTAAAACAGTGCACAGCTCTGTTTGGATTTGTTTCTCCATCTAACTAACATAGTTAGAAAACAAATTTTCAGTATGGCAAGATGGAGGTTTTCAGGACCTGACTGGGTAAAGCCTGGAGCAGCCTGGTCTGACCTCATAGCTGACCTAGTTTTGAGCAGGGGGTTAGGCTGGGAGAGACCTCAGGTCTTTAGTCCGAATTATCCTATGGAAATCGTGTAAGTGACAGAAATGAATTATGATACTTCATTATGTTTTATTCTTACTCCTTGGTATGACCCAGAATGTGCCATAACTTGCCTCTCTGAATTACTTTTCTGGACTTAGAGAGAACATGCGATGTGTGGGAGTGGGTTATAATTCTGTCATGTATGCAGTTCCTTCGGGTGGAGGCACTTGTAAATGAAGGTAGAAAATGGCTTTTCCCACCATGTTGTTAAGAGTACTCCGCCTACTGCTTTTACTGATCATTATCTTTGTTTAGTCATTTTAAAAAGATGGCATGTTTGGTTTTGTCCAAGAACTGTCTTACCGTCAGTGATGTCTGTACTGTCCCCTAGCATCCGTGCTTGAGTTTCGGGTTTTTATTCCTAGAGCCAGAAGGCCCCAGCTAGCTGGAACAATTTTGCAAGGAGGAGGCAGAACCTGGGACTGAGCAAATCGCCCTAACAGCATCAGTTTTATGTGTGCAAGGACACTCACAGCAGACCGTAGCTGGCATGTAGGCCACAGAACTGGATTTAAGTGCAAGTACAGGCCTTAACGTGACCAGACATTTCCAGCCTGAGTGACTTGGCTGAAAATGCTACAACCTTTTGCTCTTTGGTATGCTTGCTACCTGCTTCCAAGTTGCTGAAAACGTGTCTGGCTCACTTGCCAGGGCCGTGCCCAATTGAATATCTAGTGCGACTGCACTGCTCTTGCTGGGGCAGCAACTCACAGGATTGGGCATACAGCTTACAGAGAACTGAGAGTCTATTTGGGAGGCATACTCTGACCTGAAAGAAAAAAAACATTTTTCTTGGTCAGTTGAGGTATTTTGCAAAGTTTTGGTCCAGGTTTTGTTCCTAATTTCAACTGATGCTTTTTGATACCTTTTGAATGACATTCTGTAAATGAGCAGTGAGCAACTGAAACTTACTTCAGATGAAAAGTCTTTCCTCTAATGTGTCATGGCAGTGAATTTCCTGTTCATTAGAATAATATGGACAAAGTGAGGTTAAACTCTGCAAGGAAAATCAAAACGTGTTCTTGGAATAGGATGTTCTCCCCCGAAACTTACAGAAGATAGGCAGTAGGCACATTGTCATCCGTAGGCCTCAGAAAGGTGACTGGCTTGTTTTTTAATAACTGGCACTTCACAAACCCTTTTTACGTTCCTCTCTAGAACTCCGCCGTGCAGTGAGGAGTAGTTTGTGGAAGAAAGAAGCTAGTATCCATGAACATGACTATGGACCAGAAGAAAACATTGAAGAAGATATGTATAAGAAGACATGTACTATATGTGGCCATGAATTAACTTACGAGAAGATGTAGTATTATCATGTTTTTAAATTTCATTAAGTGTCTTTTTAATGGTATTCTGTATTGAAGTCAAATAAACACTGATTGTGAACAAGCTGTTGCCAAATTGTATGCAAAGAATGATGTTCCTTAGTTGTTAAGGAGCTCTATACAGAACTAAGCTTTGGCTATTTAAGCTAGACCTTTAGAATGCAGTGTGTGCCTTTTTAACTTCTTGAAGAAATCACTATCTTACAGTCCCATGGATAAGATGGCATCATTCGGTCTATTTTACATGATGATGAAATTAAAGGAAGTAAATTCACTACACCTCTGCTTGTGCTGGGGGTGGAGGGAAAGAAGGGCTCCACATCTTGTCCCAGCTGTTAGTTATTGTCTGGTCAGCTACTTGAATGTGTGGCATGCTGGCAGTAAACACCTCACTGATGCTTACTGCATTGTGAGATAAGAGTCTGCTGCTTTTATTTTAAGACTTTAAATCCAATCAAAGGAAGGCTCTACTTGGGAAAGGAGAATTCTCTCTTGCAGGAAAGCAGCAAGGTTAGGCCACAGCTGTGTCAAGGACGTGCCCTGTGGCCACTCACTACACCTGGACAGGCATAGTCTAGACTTTTTAGAACCAAAATTTACACTAGCAAAATATTACTGGAAAGAGCACACTGCAAGAGAGGCTTTGATAGCCTCTCAGCAATGACACGGGAAAAGATGCCATAACCATGGCTTTCATTTTGGAATAGAAAGCAAGATGACTCATGCAGTACAACATCATCTTACGTACTAACTAACTGGTAAATGAGCAGAAGGTTATTTTTTCAAGCAATGGACAAATACCTACTTTTTCTGTTCACTGCTCTTAGATACACCTGTGGAACAGGTATAAAAACTGCTAAAAGGGAGGAGTGTGCTTTATTCAGTGTGTATTTGTTCCCCATTATAAACGTGGATCACCCTGAAGTCTAGTGAGACTGCTGTAAGTTAGTGGGCGAGAACAGGTCTGAAGAGTGCTGATGGTTCTGCCTATAGACCACTTCTCCATCGCAGAGTGCTAATGTCCTGCTGTGGAAACAGTTTGCGGATGAGCTCATGAGTGCTCAGCCTTATGTTGGCCAGTCATTTCTGGACAAAGGAAGGGGTTCTGCATGGCAGGGCAGAGCCTGCCAGCCAAGGACCTGAATGTAGAATCCCAAGAGTCTGGAGAAAAGCCAAACTGGATAAAGGCCTGTGCAGCTTACAGAACATCAGATACAGCCCAGGCAAAGATGCAGACTTTCCCCTCAGGCTATCACGAGCAACAGCCATGCTCAAGGCTATGCAAAAAGCAGCCTGCAGAGCTCACTTGGGGGGCTGGGGCAGGTCCTAGCAGAGCTGTTGGAGGCAGGTCCTGGTTCCCCACCCCTTCCACAAGGCAGCATGTGCTATGGGTCCCCCTCTCCTCTCCCCCACAGCTTAAAGCAGGAACCGGTACTGGGCACTGGCTGCTGCATCACTTACCTGTGGGGAGGCTGTAGGGGCTGCCCTGTGGCAAAAAACTCTTGGCTGTGCCTGCTGCAAGGATGCAGCAGCACAGCCCACGAAAGCAAGAGTGGCAAGCAAAAAGGAAGAGCTGCTGCTGCTGCAGCGCTCTTTTTACTAGGTGGCAGCACACACGCTATTATCAACTTGGGCATGCAGAGCAGGGAGGCACCTTAGATTAGCTAACACATGCAAGGATCTGAAGGCTTGTGGGGTGGCTGATCAGTCAGTGCATTTTGTACAGGGAAAGTGAAAACCCATCCAAACCACATTTAACACCAGAATAACCCTGTCAGGACTGCTTTGCGTTATTGGCCCCAATAAATAGTTAGGACAAACATTCCCAAATAGTAACCTGCTTCACTTTCATTTATTTTTGTCTTCAGTTGTGCATTTTTTCCAGCCACCCCACATTTCTACAGCATCTTTACACTATCCAGCCCCTCATGCTGCAGCAGTTCTAAGTTTCTCCAGTTAACAACTTGTATCACTATGCAAACATCTTTGTTCTTCCCTACAGATGGAACCAGTTTCCCCATCAAGTCAGGTGCCACTCTAACCTGCAAAGAGGGGATATTTTCCAATAGACTAAGGAAATGTAATCAAAGCCCACACTCCTCACCATAAATCATTTTTGAAAGACAGTGTCACTTGGTTTTAAATCAGAGAATTAGGATTATGCTCTCTGTGCTCAGGTATTTGCTGCTCTATCCCCAACCCCAGTATTTGTCATGTACATTAAAGGCTCAGAAGAAGTTAGAGATCTGTAAGCTCCACTACATTATCAATTTTACAGAAATCACATTCAAGTCAGTCAGATTCCCACCCAAAGCAGAATTCCTATTGATCCAACCTAGTGAAAAAAATCAAAGGCTAAGAACCCTCTTAAAACTTCTGTACAGCATTAATCATTTCAAGAAAAGAAAAAAAAAAGGCTGTTTGATTACTCAAGAACATAAACATATCTGAAGCAGACATCTTGTGCATGATTGACAAAAATCCTGCATAAAACAAATTTACAAATATGTAAAGGCAGACTAAAAGAATGGAGGGATTCATCAAATCACAGAGGATAAGCAGAGAAAGCAGAAACAACAGAATCAAGTCTACAAGGATATACCCAATTGTTACAGGCCACACAACAGGCTAG